ACTTCTATGCCAGCACCTCCTACTTTCACAGGAGAGAATTATGATTATTGGTGCATAAAAATGAAGCTTTTTCTAAAAGCAAGTGCTTTTGTGGGAGATAGTGGAAATTGGTTTTGTACGAAAACAAAAAGGAGTGTAGTACACAGAAGCACAATTAAAGAAGATAAGTGATGATGAGATGAAGGATGCTAGAGCCTTATCTCATATCATCAATTGTGTTTCTGACACAATTTTCCCAAGATCATGAGAGCCTCATCAGCAAAAGAAGCTTGGAGTCTTCTTGAGGAGGAGTTTCATGGCGATGAAAAAACCAGGAATATTCGACTCAATACTTTGAGGAGTCAATATGATAATATGAAGATGAAGGAGAATGAGGATATAAAAGGTTACACTTCTAGATTCATGGAAGTTGTAAACCAAATGAAGATTTATGGAGAAGAGATCTCAGATGCAAAAATAGTGCAAAAGATCTTAGGATCTTTGGACAGAAGGTTCAACACAATGTCCACAATAATTGTTGAATCTAAGGACGTCACAAAACTCAGTGTGACAGAGCTAATGGGTTCGTTGCTTGCCCATGAGCGTAAATTTGCAAAGGATGACCTAGGGAAATCCCCACCCTTTCTGTCAAAGTCTCATAAAAAATTTCCATTCAACAAAGGCAATAACCGGAAGGATCAAGGGGCCCCACAATCTGATAGAAAAGACAAGGAGCAGCCACAGTCCAAAGGGAAATTCCCTCCATGTGGTATATGCAATAAGACAAATCATCTTGAAAAAGATTGCTATCATAAGGGGAAACCGAAGTGCAGCCATTGCAAAAAACTAGGCCATTTGGAGAAGGATTGTTGGCACAAACAGAAGCAACAATCGTCAAACACAAATGCTCGTGCTTCCAATGAATCAGAAGACTATTTGTTTTATGCACGTCAAGTGATGAGTGCCTGTACCAGCAAGGAAAGATGGTTGATTGATAGTGGGTGCACATCCCACATGACAAACAATTCAAGCTTATTTTGCAAGCTTGACTCTTCCATCAAAGTTCCAGTTTGTATAGGGAATGGTGCTGTTGTACAGTCCACTGGAAAAGGCACAATTGGTGTTCAAACCAAGAAAGGTATGAAGTACATCAATGATGTCCTCCTTGTTCCAGATTTGAATGAGAGTTTTCTTAGTGTTGCTCAGATGGTCAACAATGGTTATTCACTTGTCTTTGAGGATAACCATTGCACCATCATTGACTCGAATAAGAAAGAGATTGTAAAAGTCCCGATGGAAAACAAAAGCTTTCTATTGAAGTGGGATTATCCGGTAGAGAATGTGAATGCAGCAAACTCAAGCAACACATGGCTATGGCATAGGAGGTATGGACACTTTAATATGCGTGCTCTCAATGAACTTCACAAGAAAAATCTAGTGAGAGATTTTCCTTCAATTTGTGTATCTAATGATCTTTGTGAGTCTTGTCAATTTGGCAAGCAACATAGGCTGCCTTTCCCGAAGGAGAATGTGTGGAGAGCATCGGGAAAATTGCAGCTTGTTCACACTGATGTTTGTGGACCTCATCGAACTTTATCTCTTGGTGAAAACAAGTATTTCATCCTTTTTATCGATGATTTCACCCGCATGATGTGGGTGTATTTCATGAGAGAAAAATCTGAAGTTTTCAGTGTTTTCAAAAAATTTAAAGCACTGGCAGAAGCTCAAAGTGGCTGTAAACTACAAAAAATCAGATCAGATCGAGGCAAGGAATATACTTCCTCTGAATTTGATTGTGAAGATGAGGGAATTGAACATCAGCTTACAGTGGGTTATACATCTCAGCAAAATGGAGTTTCTGAATGAAAGAATAGAACTGTGATGGAGATGGCTCGCTGTATGTTAAGTGAGAAAAATCTGCCAAAAAAATTCTGGGCAGAAGCAGTTCGCACATCTGTTTATTTGCTTAACAGGCTGCTCACAAAAGCGGTTCAAGGCAAAACTCCAATTGAAGCATGGAGTGGAAGAAAGCCAACAGCAAAACACTTAAGAGTATTTGGATCAGTTTGCTATGCTCATATTCCATCTCAAAAGAGAAGCAAACTAGATGCAAAAGCCGAAAGAGGAATCTTCCTTGGCTATGATTCACAAGCCAAAGGATATCAACTTTTCAATCTTAGCAATAAAAAGATCATGATCAGTCGAGATGTTGAATTCGATGAAGATGCATGTTGGAATTGGGAAGAAGAGAAGGTTGAGAAGAAATTTTTTCAAGTTGATAGTGAAGTGCATGATGAGCCTAGAGATGAGAATATCGAAGAAGTTCCTTCCACTCCTATACAAGCTGGAAATGGCACTGGTGAAACTAGTGATGATGATAATGCCACGGGTCCTAGAGGTAAGAAGTCTCTCTCGGATTTGTACGAGGAATGTCCAGTCTTTCACCTAGACCCGGAGGAATGTGAAAGATTTTACCTTGGTGTTGAAGAGCCCCAAACATATGAGCAGGCTTTTGAAGACAAAAGATGGCAGCAAGCAATGGAAAATGAAATCAATATGATCAAGAAAAATCAGACTTGGGAGTTGGTTGATAGACCAAGTGATCGCAAAGTGATTGGCGTCAAGTGGGTCTAGAAAATCAAATTGAATCCTGATGGGACCATAAGCAAGTTCAAGGCTAGATTGGTCGTCAAAGGATACTCCCAACAAGCAGGAATTGATTATGGAGATACATTTGCTCCGGTGGCTAGGCTTGACACAGTTAAAACTCTGATTGCTTTAGTAGCTCAAGAGACATGGAAGATTTATCAACTTGATGTCAAGTCTGCCTTTCTCAATGGTGAACTCGAGGAGGAAATCTACATTGAGCAACCTCCCGGATTTGCTATTAAAGGGCAAGAAGGAAAAGTGTGCAAGCTGAAAAAGGCTCTTTATGGGCTAAAACAAGCGCCATGAGCATGGTACAACAAGATTGACTCATATCTACTTGCACAAGGGTTCAACAAAAGTAAAAATGAGCACACTCTCTATGTGAAGAATCAAGGAGAAAATGATTTGCTCATTGTTTCACTCTATGTTGATGATCTTCTTGTCACGAGAAACAATTCAAAGATGATCCTCTCGTTCAAGGAGGAGATGAAAAGGAAGTTCGAAATGACAGACTTAGGCTTAATGAATTATTTCTTAGGGATGGAAGTTCATCAAGCTGAAGATGGAATCTTCATCTCTCAAAGGAAATATGCAAATGATGTTCTTAAGAAATTCCATATGCAAAACTGCAAGCCAGTCAGTACACCTCTTGTAGTGAATGAGAAGTTGTCTAGACATGATGGACAAAGGAAAGCTGACACTAGGCAGTACAAGAGCTTAGTTGGAAGTCTACTTTACCTAACAGCCACAAGGCCAGATTTGATGTTCGCAGCAAGTTTGCTTTCAAGGTTCATGAGTGAACCAAGTGATGTTCATATGGGTGCTGCCAGAAGAGTGCTCAGGTATATAAGAGGAACTTCAGATTTTGGTGTTATGTTTAACGCAAGTGCAAACTCCAAATTGTTGGCATATTCAGACAGTGACTGGGGTGGTTCAAACGATGACATGAAAAGTACTCTGGGATATGTTTTTGCACTTGGATCTGGAGTGTTTTCATGGATTTCGAAGAAGCAAGAAGTAGTAGCTCAATCCACAGCTGAAGCCGAGTACATTGCAGCATCGGCAACTGTTAATCAAGTTGTGTGGCTCGGGAAAATACTTGCTGACTTGAGACACAAACAGGAAGAAGCTACTGAAGTTCTAGTAGACAACAAATCAGCAATTGCTATTTCAAAAAATCCAGTTTGTTTCAGCAAGACAAAACACATGAAGATTAAGTATTATGCACTTCGAGAAGCTGAGCAAGAGAAAGAAGTGAAGCTGATTCATTGTCCTACTGAGTTCCAGCTCGCTGACATTTTGACCAAGGCTTTACCAAAAAGCAGATTTGAGTTTCTCAGACTCAAGCTTGGTATGATGGCCAAAAGTCTCAAGGAGGAGTGTTAGTAAATGAGACTTTTAGAGAATTAGTGAAGAAATCAGTGAATAAACTTGAATGTACTAGAGTTATTAGGAGTAGTTGAAATGCCAAAAGTTGTGACTCTTCATTGCATCACAATAATGTAGAAGGCATCCCTCACCCCTATATAAAGTACTCTTGTACATATCAAATAAATATAAGAAATCTTCCTACTTTCTTTCTACATACACTGTCCAGCTTTGCTCTAACAAGGACTAGGCTGGTTGTAGCTCCACCTAATTTTGTGATCAAAATTGTTGATAAGGATGGAGCTCGTGAATTTGCCTGGCGCGAATCCATTAAAGATCAGGCCTTTGCAGATGCTAATGCTGCTGCTGTTTTCAGTAATGAAAAATAGGTCGTTTTTTTATACTTTCTGAAGGTGGTAGTGTTGATGTAACAGGATGATTTACTATGTTTAAAACTGTATGCCCTTACTTAGGAGTTGTCATCTTGAGATTTTACCCCACTATTATCATTAATGCTGAAACAATTATCAAATTGATTGATCTGGTTCAATTGTCACCATGCTAATCTCAATTTGTCTGAGAATCGTGGAAGGTTGAGTGAGCATTTCACCATCTCCATTCTACATATCCGTATTTGTTTGGCCTTCCCACTCTACTTGGTTGGAATTCTGAGGCAGTAGCCTCGCATTATACGAAGTGCGTGTTTGGTATGAGTAATGAAAAAAGGAATGAAATGTAAACAAATAAAGAAAAAGGGTATTATAAACTATAAAGTGTTGCCATTATTTGTTGTTTGATAAGCACTTGGAGGCTGGGAGAGGTAACAATTGAGAGTTAAGGGTTACCCCTAGGAAATGGAGTGAGTTACAACTTACAACACCTCTTAATCCAAAGCAATAGGTAATGAAAACGGTTAATTGATTCTATGACCACTACTCAAAAAAAGAAAAAAAAAAAAAAAAAAGCCTTAATGCCAGTGTTGTAGTGGTACATAAGATTTCACGTCAGCTGAATGTAACAAGTTTTAGTTAAAAAATAAACTCAAGTTTGACTCTTCGCGGTGAATAACTACAACCAGTGAAACCTTATGATACAATATTATTTATTTAGCAGTAGGGAAGTTAAACCTTCACACTGTACTTATTTTACATTTTTCACATACTTAAGTTAACCATGCTTTAGAGGCCAGCAAACTCCAAAAGTGAGATCAGGGAATTCTGCTGTCGTTTAGGCCCGGTCATGAAGTAAGATTTCTGCTGTTTCTGAAACATCTCTTCTACCTCTCTTGCTGGCATATTGAAAGACAACTCTATCGCTTCTTCATCTAACTGGTTTACTATGTTGTCTTGCCCTGCTCAAATAAAAATGAAATTAAACATGCATCAACCTGAATAATTCTTATCAATAAGGTTATAACCAATTTACCTGCAAGGAAGTTTCTTTGGTTATCTTGGGCATTGATACCAAACCCGATGGTTCTAATACTCTCATTCTCTGATGCAACTAAAGCAAGTGGGTGGCCAGCAGGAACAACGAATACATCGCCCTTAGACAAGGGAGATCTGACTTTTTCATACCTCTGGCTGCTACCTTGTTGTTTCTTATTACTTTCATTTTCAGAGTGTGGGCGTGCAATTTCAAAATATCCACTCCCTTCCTCCACTAGCACAATGTATGTTGTTCGAGAATTATAGTGTGGTGCCATCATTGACCCCTGGTAATCGAATAAGATTAGAATTAGCTCATTACTCTTAGAGGAATAAACATCATCATCAATCTGCAAGTACAAATATCCTACCTGTTTAATGTCACAGTAAGCAACCGAGACATCAAGATCTTCGAGTAGTTGGTAATCATTTGGAGTAACTTCATAGAACTCCCCATGTTCATTGGACATTTGTGGTCGTCCATCTAACAAACTGAATGGGCCTTTGGATGCTCCAAATTGTCGTCTAGACATCCCATGAGCCAACGCTCTCACTTGCTCTTGACTGGCTTTGACAATTGTACCTTTCTTCTGTTGGTTTAACAGCTGCTCAAGCTGGTCCCTTGGTAGCTAGCAACAAAGTTGAACCATTAAAGTTTTAATTTTGGTTAAAAAACAACTTAAAAAAAAATTGACTAATGGTAAAGAACAAACATTCATAGCAGCTTGGAGGATTTCTGTACTGAAGCTGTTGAAGAACGATTTGGACTCTTCACCACCTATACCAAAAAATTGCTGCAATGAAAGGATTTATTTATTACATACCTCACCACACACTATTATGTATTTAAATGTGAATAAATCTAAATATACCCCGTAGCAGTGATACAAAAAACGTATGCTATGTACCTGATAACGACCGGGAGTATTAACAGGGCGTAATAGCTCAGCTATTTGCAGCTTCTCAGCTTTATGCGTACTAGTTAAGTACGCCGTGGTGCCAGCAGGAATCATCAGCACATCTCCATGTTCAAGATTAAAGGTCTCGCGGTTCTTTTGCTTCAAAAATGTCACAGTGGCCTTTCCTATAATATCAGCCATAACATTAGCATGTTAAAGTTGAGACAGGAATTATGAAATAAATCAGCCATAGATATTACGATTTTGTAGTAAAAATTTAAGTATATACCTTTAATGATGAATAGAACCGAGTCAGCATCCCAATGGTGAGGAAGCATGAAAGTGTTGGGATTCGCCTCATAGAAACCAACCCTGAATTTATCAATGCCAAGGAGGAGGTCTGACTTCTCTGAAAATCTTTGGAGTACCTTCATGTGTCCTTCTCCAGTTGCATAGCGAGACTCAAAGCTCTTAGAGTCAAAGTAGTAGGGGTTATCACTCTCTTTGGCTTTTTTGTTGATGTTGTTGTTGTCGAGGCTATTTAATCCTTTTCGATGGCCTCGTTCACCCTCTCGACGCTTGTGCCCTCCCCTATGTTGATCGAATTCTTCTTCACAATGCAATTTGCATTGCCTTTGTCGTGGAAAGCCTTCCTCCCTGTCCTCACACTTTTTCAGACAATGTGTGTAATCATGTTCTCGTGGGTGCCTATCCATCCATGAGTTCAAGCAAATTAAACATATTTTCTTTGCAATCCATTCTACAAGCAAAATACGAGATTATATAATCTATACAAACAGGGCTGGATCAACAGACTGATGGTATAAAATCAAAAAGAGAACAATGACACAACTCTTTTATTGATATAAACCTCCATTATTTTGGTAGAAAAAAATGGTCAAGAAAGTTTTTACAGTTTTCATTATGCGGATGATTGGAGGTTACAAAATCCATTGCAGTTGTTGAACCCCATATAGTGTGCACTAGTGAGTTGTCCCACATTGGAGAAAGAGGAGAACATCAACCACTTTATAAGCTTAGGAGTTACTCCTCCTATCACCAATTGGTTTTAGGATGGAACCTCCTTGGGCTTGTAAGTGGACTAAAAACTCTCCTCCTCCTAATTGGGTTGCCCGGGCCCATGCAAAATTTAACATGGTATCAGAGCCCAGATTGCTTGGGTCTTTTCTAAAAAACCTCCTCCTAATTGGGTTGCCCGGGCCCATGCAAAATTTAACAACAGTAACACTCACATAAATCTTTCTCAAAAACAATGTTTGTACAGAATTATTAGCAACATAATCATCGAGTTGGTTATGGCTTGGCAATGGCTCTGTATGAAAGAAGGTAATCCACACTTAATATCATCGAGTTGGTACTCAAGTTTGAGCTAGCAAAGCATGTAAATGCAACTTTGTAACATAACCACCCACCCACCCACCACCCCCCCCCCCCTCCTCCTCCCCCCACAAAAAAAAAAAAAAAAAAAAAAAAAAAAAAAAAAAAAGTTGTACATAATAAAAAAGGCAATGTGTAGGAAATATTATCTAGTTCTAGCAAAAAAGTAAGAATACTAAACATCATCATTGATAAAAGTTCAACATAGCCCTAGATTCGTAACTAATCAATAAAAATAACACAAATATAGGAAAATGTATTTCATGGCTTTAATGATTCGCTACTGTGACCTGTAACTAAATTGGCATGCTACATAAACTTTTCAATATACCATTTTCAGGTTACAATATGCTCCAACAGTTTGCTAAGCAATTCGATTTTTTAATAAGTGCTCCATTTTGACTGGCACACTTGCCATCCATTACATTGACCAATTATAAGTTTTTGTTTATACATATATACATACTAATTTTGGGTGGACTCACGGTGAAACGAAATCACCCAATACTGTGGAAACATGAATAAACATAAACAATAAAATAGAATGAAAAGATGAAAGAAAACCAAGGGAGTATACTATTTCCAAAATTGATCAAAATACATACTTTAATCATTTTTAAATATTTGTTCCACATTGTTGTACACTAATTAAATGTTGTACCTTTTGATATAAAAATACAATCAAAGATAACAATGATCAAAATTGTACAATCAAAATAAATCAACAAATTAAAAGTTCCAAAAAAAAGTACTACGTCGTAACCATTGTTAAATGTATCAATTAATGTTCTCAAAGTAAGCATAGACAAATTTGTAATGTCAAACATGAACAACTTTTAGAGAGAAACTAGTGAGTAGCCCTGCCTAGGTTACTACTGTTGTAGTTGTGCAGCGCAACTGCTAATTTTTAAAAGGTATTTAATAAATTATTTGTGTTTTCAATGCTTGTGTAATATAGTATTTTTTAGTGTGCAAAATAGCATAATTGGTAATTAGCCTAGATGGTTAAAAAATGATCTTTCTTCTGAGAGGTTTAGTGATGTTCGAACTTTTTTGTCCATATTTTTAAAAAAAAATTTAGTTGAAACAACATGGAGTACACAATGAGAAGTTGAGCGTATGACATAGCGTAATAAGGGGTCTGCGTGGCATATAAATGTTCTTAGGTATGTTTTTTAATAGATTAGTATTATATTTTTTTTTGGATAAAATATAGATTAGTATAACTGATATTTATTTTATCTTTGTTTTTTTATGAAACACATTTTTATTATTTTTCTTATTTTCCCGCTACATATATATAATTATCAATATTTTTTTGGATTGGATAATTAACAATAAATAAAAAGTATCAAAATTTGTTATACGAATATTATGAACTAAAACGAATTTAATAGTACTTAATGTAGAGTAACATTTCTTTAACAAAAAACCATCATCAGTAGACATGTATAGTATTCTCCCCATATCTCAATAAGTGTATCAATTTGACTTTTATTTAAACTATTAAAATACCAAGTTTAACTTAATTTTAAACTATTATACTAATGATAGATGTTATTACAAAGGTATGCTTGATCAGTTGGTATGTATATTAATATATGTCCATAGCATCAACTTTTATTTAATTTTGTTAATAGACAATTAAATATGACAGTGGTCAGCGTTATACATTGACACGTGTGTAAACTAAACAGATAAATACTTATTCAGTTATAAAGTGAGTACAGTACTCGGTACATATATCAATATATGTCCATAGCATCAACTTTTATTTAATTTTGCTAATAGACAATTAAATATGATAGTGGTCAGAGTTATATATTAACACGTGTGTAAGCTAAACTGATAAATACTTATTCAGTTATAAAGTGAGTACAGTACTCGGTATGTAACACTGTTAGCATAGAAGAGTTTCTTAAAATGGAGGAATTGAAATTCTAGTAAATTAAAAGCAATAAAAATAAAAATGATGGAATTGTTCATACCGTTCATGATCTCCTTTCCCGCCATGGCGATCATGCTCCGGCTCTCGCTCTGGACGTTCATCCTCCGGCTCTCTTTCCCTTTCCCTTTCCCTTTCCCTCTCTCTCTTCGAAGCGGCCTCGTAATCATCTTGACACCTCCTTTGGCATTGCCATTGCTTCTTACCCGACCCACGTGCACGACACTCTTCTTGACATCGCTCATACTCCCTTTCTACGTCTCTTTCATTTGCCGTAATTCCAGTGTTTCTTTCTATCTCCACTCTATCTTGCTGGCATCTTTGCCTGCACAGATGCTCCTCGAAATACGGCTGTTGTCGTTGGCACTGCTGCTCGCACCGCCTCACGTCTCGCTTTGGGTCTCGGCCTAGCTCATCGGAGGCCCTTGAGACGGAAGCGAATGCAAGGACTGAAAAAGCTAGTAAAATTGCTAACGAAATGTTAGTTTGTAGCTTCATCTTAGTAGCTTTATAGTAGTTTAGCTATTAGTTTTTGATGGGTTTTTTCCTTAGAGAAAAATACTTTTTATAGAAGGAAATTGGAGAAATGAGATAAGATCTAATACAAGATAGTTTTAAGATTTGTGGATATGTTTCCTGTTATTATAAATTTGAAGTATATATTATAAATTTGAAGTATACCAATTGTACTAGCATTTTCATAGGAAACATGCATGATGACGGGTGTGTCAAAGAATAGAAGAGTTTATGCCACGTTATGAACATGCTATATATGTTTGAGTGCTAGTCGTGTTTTTTCCTTTATCTTAAAATATTTCATTAATTAAAAGTTATACGACATATACAATAGAGATTTGACGTTAACAAATACATAAGATATTGAATCAAATAAAGTTTTCCTCCATAAAAACCACGATCGCCGAGTAAATTTTGCAGTGTGGAACATATTCCGCTTATATCGCTGGAAAATACAACTTTGTTGGAGAGACAATCTAACGATCTTTTGTAGCCGTGCGGATGTTTTTCTTCTAATCCATCTATCTGTATTCGAAAACTTGATAACTTTTTCACTAACAAAATAACTTCACGACAATCCATTAGATCTAATATCATGGATTCAAAACTAAGAAATTTCTCCCCCGAAAAGAGAAGATAAACCCTGTCTTTTGAAGGAGGTCAAAAACCCCTTGTCTTTCGAAGGAGATTGGAAACCCTTTCTTTCAAGGGAGAAAAGTTCCTCCCGATGGGAGGAAGCATTATTATAAACCTAAAAAACTTTGAAGAAATAAGGATTGGGGCTTTCCACCGGTTAAAAACTGATAGAAGCCCCTTCAAAAATCAACAATGGAGGCTAGGGTTTTGGAGAGGAGAATTTTCTTTATCTTAATTTGGGAGGCCAATTGACCAAATTAGTAAATAAAAGTTAACTCAAGTGATAATTTGGTTAAAAAAAAAAATCAAGCGGTAATTGATCCAAAAAATTAAACAAAATCCCGACAAACTACTCATGAATAATATTTAATTAATTTAATTTGTCTTCAAGGTTTTATTTATTTATTTATTTCTCCTATTTACCATTTATTTTCCAATTACTTTTTGAGAAATAAAAAGTTGAAGGAAAAAGTTTAAATATTAATTTTACTTAATTTTCCAATCCCTTATTAACGAAATTAAAAAAAAAAAGGTTAAAAATAAAATTGGTAATTAGGATTTAGTAAAATAAAAAGCCATAAATATTAATAGGATAATTTAATGGAATTTTTTTTAAAAATAAAAACACAAAAACTAATTAAAATAGGCATTTTGAAGACTTCATCATAAGAAAATAGAATTTTTGGTCTAAATGTCGCTTGAGTTTAATTTTTGTACCAAATTGTCGTGGAGTAATTTTTTACCAAATTGTAGCAAAAGGGTCTTTTTAATTTACCAATCTGGTCAATTGACAAGATGTGGGAAGTCCTAAGATATCAACGTGCAAGTGTCAAATTTCATACGAATAAATTAAAAAAAAACTAGATTAGTCCCGTATGTTTCACAATCTATATATTTTTATTATTATTATTTTAAAAAAAGTTTGGCCTATTTTAGTGGAAAGTTTGATTTAGAAAATTTCATAAAGGGTCAGAGGTTTTACTTCCAGTTGAGCCCTAGAAGGTTTCCTCGTAAGTTTCGCTGTGTAATTTAAAGTTCCTTTAGGCTTCTATTTTATTTTTTGAAAATTTTCCTTATAGCTAGGAACTCAGTACAATTCACCCCTCCCCCCCCCCCCCTAGTATGTAGTTCGTCTCAACTAACAAAGGGCAAGAGAACTAGCTAGCTAGTTGTTGGTTTTTAGTGACATGTTGTTGACCTTTAAAGAGTTTTGATGATGGTGAAAAAAGCAAACTTCATCGAATGAGGTTTCTCTAGTGTTGGATTAGTTTTCATGTGAAGTAGACTCAGGGAGTGGAAGAGTAATCTGTACTATGAAGAATACTAGAGAAGCAAAGGAAAGTAAGAAAGAATAGAAGAAGAGTTCCTCAAAGAACTAGACAAGTGATCCGTAACAGGAACGCGTACAGAGAGAAACTTCCTAACAAGAGTAGGACATCAAGCTAAACTAACCAGCTTGGTCTACGTTGAACACAACAAGTTCCAGTGGAATTTGGGCTGCGACTTTCAGCAAGATGCTGAAGAATTGATGACAGCATGATTCCCGTCCTAGTCTGCAAAGAACTCAAGTTCCTATAAGCAACACAAAGTTCGATGGATGCAATTGATGATAAGTTTGAAGACTTTTATTAAGGTTATATATTATTGTTGTAAATATGTGATAGATTATTATTATGCATGAAACCTATTAAATTAAAAACGTGATAAGGTTTGACAAGCTAATAAAATCGGAAGCTTTATAAAACATAGTTTTATGTTTATGAAAAAGATTTATTAATGATTTTATCTTAAAAAATCAGTTTTACAAATACTTATTTTTTTCTAAACTTAATCTTTATTCGGTTTTGCAAATGATTTTATTAAATGATGCATTTCTACTCCGGTCATTAAAAGGATTTTCATTCGATTAATTTAGTGATTATCTTTTTAATAAAAACTCTACTTGGTATATGAATGTCTCCTATAAATTAAATTAGAGATCGACTTCATATTCTGAGTAAATTATGAGGGTTATGCGTGAAAACCTCAAGAGCAAGTTTGTTAAAGTTAACAGCTTTATTATATTAGTTTCGAGTGTCATGTGTAGCTTTCCAATCACAGATTATAGTTTAACTATTTGTGTTGTTTTGGGATTTGGGTGTGAGTTTATGTTGAATACACAGTGAGTGAGCTTCATGTGTGAAGCTGTGAGATTTGTACTTCGAGAGTACCGAGTAGAACTTAAGTCAGGGACTTAGGTTGGGTGGGATAGGGTCCCATAGGGTAGCAAGTTTAGGTTGGAACTTGTCTGAAAGATCCGATTATAATAGGCTGTATCTTGGAGTGTTTGGCCTATTATAGTAAATTAGTTGTGTGTTTAAAATCCTTTGTGGTCGAGGTTTTACTTATTCCTGTTAGGCCCTTGGAAGGTTTCCTCGTAAATATCGCTGCATGTTTTCAATTTCTAGTCATTTTTGTTTTAATTTCCGCGAAAAGTAGGCATTTCGAAACCTACTAAAATTCACCCCCTTCTTATAGTAGTTCATCTCAACTAACACATGTGATTCTCAACTTATTGCTTTGTATGTCTTAGCTAGTAGCAAAGATTGAATTTTGTACATAAAGCGTATGAACATAACTCAGTGAAGCCTTATAGATTTTGTTTGAATTTAAACGGAAATGCATTATATATTAATAGGTTGCAAACTTTTGGTAGCCTCTAGTTGCAAGGTTGGAAGCTATTCGTCTTCTCATAGCTTTTGCTGCTTTGGGTTTTCTGTTGTATCAAATGGACGTCATGTGTGGTTTCTTTAATTGGTTTTTTAATGAAGGCGTCTATGTTGAATAACCACCTGGATTCGAAAATCCAGAATACCCTAACCATGTTTATAAGCTTGGCAAAGCTCTATATGGGCTAAAGCAAGCTCCTAGACCATGGTATGAGAGATTGTCTAAATTCCTTTTGAAGAATGATTTTAAACGTGGAAAAATTGATAAAACTTTGTTTTTTTTTAAATTAAGAGCAACTTCCATTCAAGTTGTACAAATTACTGTTGATGATATTTTAATTATTTGGTGCAACTCACGAATCACTAGTTCCTTGCTAATCTTATGAGTGTATAGTTTGAATTGAGTATGCTGGGAGAGTTGAATTTCTTTCTTGGTTTGCAAATCAAACAAACTGGGAAAGGGATAATGATACATTAGCAAAAATACATTAAGAAACTCATAAGGAAATACAAGATGGAAAGTTCCAAAACAAATCACTCTCTAATGGGAACTGCAACAAGATTAGCTTAGGTGAAGATCTAAGTGGAAATAACATAGATCAAACTATTTACAAGGGTATGATTGATTCCCTACTATATCTAACTGCTAGTAGACCTTACATATCTTTTAGTGTAGGTTTGTGTGCCAAGTACTTGAAAGGAACCGATGATTTAGGACTCTTCTATCCTAGAAGTGATTCATTTGAACTTGTTGGATACACTGGTGGTGATTATGCAGGTTATTTGGTAAACCCAAATGGTACTTCAGGTGTGGCACAGTTCCTAGGACCATGTTTGGTGTCTTGGGGTTCCAAGAAGCAAATACCTGTAGCCTTTTCCACAACTGACGCAGAAAACACTACAAAAAAATGTCCATATAGAAACGGAATTCTAGCGACGGAACTCAATCCGTTTCTAAATTAGAGACGGAATTAAAATAATCCGTCTCTAAATTAACTTAGTGACGGAATTAATAAATCCGTCTCTAAATTAGAGACGGAATTAAAAAATTCGTCTCTAAATTAGAAACGGAATTGAAAATCCATCTCTAAATTAGAAACAATTTTTTTTTTTCCGTTGCTAAATTTAGAGACGGATTTTTCTTTCCGTTGCTAAATTAGAGACGGATTTTTTTTTCCCGTTGTTGATATGAGCGACGGATTTTTAATTCCGACTCTAAATTATTTTTGAAACACTAGTGGAAATAACGTCATTTGCAGTGCACTATTTGCAGCAAACCTATGTATAGAATGCTGCAATAGTAGTTAGTCAACGCGGGTCAACACTTTAATGAATTAATAGAAACGTTTAGCATAAAGAGTTTCAAAAAATTGAGAATTTTTTTAAAGAGAATTATTTGCAGCACTCCCAAGTAAAGCACGTTGCATATAACATGGTTTATTGCAGCGTTTCCTAGTTTTAAACGCTACAAAACAATTATTGCAACGTTCCCATATGGAGCGCTACAACAGATAAACTTTTATTCATTCGTTCATTTCATTTTTAGAACAAATTACTTCGTGTTTGCCGCCTCCATTCAGAAAACCTAACCCTTAAGAGAGGAAGGAGAGAGAAGATGAAGCACAACCCACACGTCTTTGACTTCTTCTCACTTCACGGCGCCATCGAGTGCTCCACTCTTCGTCTCAGTCCGATCAATGCTCGTGCGCAAAGACGATGAAGTCTAGGTTTTCGTGGTACCTCATGGTCAGAAATGCTTCATGGGAGCTCGATATTCAAGTATTTCTCGCTTTCTCTTTCTAGATCTATCATTTTTTCTTTCAATTATGCAATTTCATATTGTTTTTGTGAGAAATTTGATGTCAAACCCTAAAATTCTTTATTATTTATTTGGATAATTTGCACTACTAGAAAACAGGTCATTTCGGACAGAAAAATTCCGTCGGAAACACCCTGAATTACGTCGAAAAACATTGTTCCGACGGAATTTCCTTTTGTCGGAAGACCCTTTGTAGGAAAAACGTCCATTTCCGTCGGAACAGTGTTTTCCGACGGAATTTTTTCGTCGGACGAGGTTTTTCGGTACTGGAAAGTCCGTCGAAAATTTCCGACATGATTCAAATCCGCCGGAAAATTCCGACGGAAATTCCGTCGGAAACTCCTACAAAAAAAAAAAAAAACCAAAAAAAAAACAGGCACCACCCTCATCCACCCACCGCCACACCTACCCCTTACCCTTACTCATCCACCACTACCCTCCTCCTTAACCCTTAGCCACCACCCACCACCACCGAAGCCTAACCCAGATTCACCAACCACGCACCACCACCGAAGCCACCCACGCACCACCACCAAAACCACCCACACCGGCCCCTAACCTTGATTCACCAACAACCACCATCGAAACCACCAACACCAGCCCCTATCCCACCTTCACACACCACCACCGACACCACCTCACCAAAATTTAACCACAAAAAGTCAAAAATTAACCCCAAAAAAACACAAATGAGCCCAAAAATACGAAAATTAACACAATAAAACCGAAAAAATACCACACAAAAATCGAAACCACCACCAGAATTTAACAAAAAAGAAAAAAATTCCTAAAAAAAACAACGAAAATTACATAAAAAAACAACGAAAATTACCCAAATTAATTAAAAGAAATATATAATTATACAATTATTTAACAAAATTTATACATTAACATTACAATGACATCAATTATTAACTAAAATCAGAATTTAAAAGGAAAAAAAAGGCTAGATCTACAATCTAAGAAAATAATACCGTGTTGTTGCGACGGAGGCTTTTTTGCGTCGTTGTTGTGCGGTGTTGGTGGTTGTTGTTGATCTCGGTGTTGCCGTTGTCTCGGTGTTGACGATGATCTTGGGTATTCGTTGATGGTTTTCGTTGATGGTGGCTAGGAGATCGAAGAGGAGAGTGAAAGGGGAGAAGAGATCGAAGAGGAGAGTGAAATGTTGGAGAAGAGAAGAGGAAAGGAGAGGAATTTAGACTGAGAAGAGGAGAGAGAAAGGGAGGAGAAGAGAAGAGGAACAGGGAGGAGTAGAGTGAGAAGTCTGAGAGGAAAGAAGAAGAGAGGAGAGAGAAAGGGAAGAGAAGAAAAGAGGGGCGGAAATGTGTTAAGAATAACCGTTTTTTTAGGGTTTTTTAGGTTTTTTTTTTTATATTTAATTACAACGGATTTTATATTCCGTCGGAAAGCCCACAAATTCCAACGGATTTGTATTCCGTAGGAAATCCGTCGGAATTTACGAAGAAAAAATGTCCGTCGGAAATGGTCCGTCGGAAATCGGCCTATCTTTAGTAGTGTTGTAAATTACCACCCAAAAATGTACCTGTTTTTGAACTAACCACCTGTTTAATTTTTTATTTTATTTTATCATCCCTTAATTAAATAATCACTCAGATTACCACCCATTTCAAAATTCCGATAGATTTTCTGTCTGTGGGCCCCACCTAACCACTATTTTAACCCTTTTCACTGATCCCCCCGGATTTTTTCTCCCCCCATCTTTTCTCTTTTCTGCAACCATTTTTCATACCTTTTTCAACCTTCAATCCTTCCATTTCAAGCTCACTTCCAAATCTTCCTCTTCTTCTTCATCTGCAATTCCCCACCGGCAGCACCACCCACCAATTTCCTCGACAGCCACCATAATCAACCTCACCGCCCTTAACATACACCACTAGCCACTGCAATCTACCCCACCACCCCCAACACACCTCACCGACCACCGCCTTCAACTTCACTGCCCTCCACACACATCTCACCGCCCTGAACAAACCCTCATCGACCACCGCCTTCAACCGCATACCATCGAACATTTCGACCGCCAGTCGCAAGGCACATAATGAAATCCTAAAAAAAACTTGCCCCCACCCCTCACCTCCCTGAAATCTAACGTATACAGCCCGAATTCAACTAACAATAATCGATCTTTACATCCTTTACTTTGGGCTTGCAGAATTCAACTAACAATAATCGATTTTTGCAATTTTTGTAATTGATTTTCAAATTGCAGAAATCAAAGTAGCCGACCCCACTGTTCTTCTTGTTGTTGTATTTAGGGTTGAATTTAGGGTAAATTACTAAAGAATTGTCCTACAAATCAATCAGAAAATAAAATTTTGCAATTAAATTGGGGAAATTAGGTTGATAATCAATTGAATTGGGGCTTTGTATGCTGAAATTGACGGGCTGCTGCTATCTTTAATTGAAGTGGGCTGGTTGTGATTTGCGATTGGTGCTGCCGTGAAGAGCTTCTGTTGGTGGCGAATGGTGGCGAGTGCGGCTGTGATTTTTGCTGGGCTGCCGCCAATTGTTGTCTCTGTTGTGGTGTTTGTGATTGTGGAGCGGCTGATATGTTGGTCAAATCGGAGCAGCGCAACTGATTGCGATGGACTGGTGCTGATAGGTCTGGGCTTCGTTCTGCTGCTGCTAGAGGATCTGATGTTGCTACCTGTTGGTTCCTCCATCAGCTGGGGCTCTTAAGATAAACATGGATGCTGGCTTTGTGGGTGAGATGGGCTGTGGTCTGGGAGCTATTATTAGGGGCGGGGATGGTGCTGTTGTGGCGGATGGTATTCAGCTGGAAAGGAGAAAAATGGAGGAGAGAGAAAGTGGGGGAAGGGGGAGAAAGAAGAATTTGTCGGAAGGTCAGAGAAAAATGGAGGATTAAAGGTTGAAGATGGTAGGAAGTTGGAGAGAGAAAAAATCGAGGGAAAAAATTAAAATATGGGGAAAATTTTTAAATTACCATCCGTTAGGTAGGGCCCACAGATGGAAAATCATTGGAATTTTAAAATAGGTGATAATTTGAGTGGTTATTTAATTTAAGGGGTGGTAAAATAAAATAAAAAATTAAACGGGGGGTTAATTCAAAAACAGTTAAATTTCTGGGTGGTAATTTACAAATTATGCTTATTATTTTGATTATAATTGTTGATTCTTTGAACTTATGGTTTTTGTAAATTTTCTGAAATTGCAGATTTGATATCGTGCGTTGTTGATTGTTGATGAGTTATTTATGCGTTCAAAGCCATTTAGAGCCCTAATTACTGAGCCAACTCATGGGGCAGTGAGCCGAATCAATTGGTTGAGTCAGGTTTCCGGTGTCTTGGGTTGTCAATGGGGTGATGAGGGTAAAGGGAAGTTTGTTGATATTTTGGCGCAGCATTTTGATGTCGTCAGGTTACAATTTTTTTTTCTTTTGTTAATATTTTTATAAATTTATTATTTCTGATTGAATGGGTGATGATATCTGAAAGTGATTTTTTTTTTTTTTCATTATTATCGACATTTTTATGATGTTTAAATTTGATTAATAAATGATTTTTTTTCTTCTTATATTTGGGTAATTCTGATTCACATTGTTATAGACAATTATAAATCATTAACTTAATTGGTTAGTGCATTTCAATTTTGGTTTCAGTTTTGATCGTAGTGTTGTGTTTAAAGGTGGTGGGATTCAAAATGCTACAAGTATGCATGAAATTGGGAGGTGGGGGTTTTCTTTTAAGGTTACTGGGGGTGGAATTTTGATTGAATTAGTGTGGCTCATTGTATTGTCTGCATTTCTTATTAGTTGTGAATTTCTCCATAGCACATTGTCGACGCATTTCGAATAAATTGTCTTATGTAAATGAAACTTGGGCAGGTAGATAAGGCAATGGATAAAATTTATAAGTTATTTTAGTCACTTTAGCCTCTAATTTATTTTAAACTATACACTTACCAGGTACTAAATTAAATACAAACTTGTCACTACGTTTAACTTTAACTGCATTGTTTCTTCTGTTTTTACTATGAATTGGATACTTCTTTCAGTAATTCTTACTGGCTTTATTTGTAATTAATTTTAGGTAAATCCTCATATGCACCGGCTGAAGCTTTGTGACTTTGGAAGCACAAAAGTTCTGGTATGTGGGTAAATTTGTTTAGTCATCACATCACTTCAGATGTATGTTACCTTTGAGTCATGCCACATCTAATTACCTTCTCCTCACCTGCAGATAAAAGGTGAGCCTAATGTATCTTATATCTACTCTAGATACTATAGAGCACCAGAGTTAATATTCGGAGCAACAGAATAAACTACAACTATTGACGTCTGGCCTGCTGGCTGTGTGCTTGCAGAACTGCTCTTGGACAGGTAGCTTGATACTCTTGCATGTTTTGGCTCTTGGGTTGCTATTCTTGCTAATGTTGTCTTGATCATGATCTCATGTATCTTGTCTTGATCATGCTTGTATTTGTGCCTGAAATATGTTGATTGAGCAAAATTCAGATTAACATGATCTCATGTATCTCTATTCGCTTATGGAATAATATTTGTTGTCATTGATCAATTACAGTTTAATTGAGTTGAGGCAGGTTGTCTAGTTTTTAGTTTGTGTGAAATATGAATGGTATTGATTTAGGATCGACTTGAACACTGGATGTTACTTGTTGAATTTCATAATATGTTTTTTCTTGTTGAATTTCATCAAATTTTTTGTATTATATATATTATAAGTAGATACAAGTTACCTGGCTCTATAACTTGAGTAAGTTGCTTTTGGCTATCAGAATTGCAAGATATTCTTCCTGGAATCATCAATCAATTGGGTAAATGTTTAACAGTCCTCTCCTTTCCCGAAGAAATGGAACTTGTTTCGAAATTCATGCTAAAGAAATGGAACTTGTTTTGAAATTAGGCCCGCTGTGTTCCCATCCTAAGCTAGAGGGAAGGCCTATATAATGTAAGAATTTGGATCTGAAGTAAAGAGTTTTCTGGTTTTCTTTTTCTTTGCTAACTTGCTTTTATTTGTTATGAAAATATACTAAAAGAGTTTTGGTTGCAGGAAGGAGCTATATAAAGAGTGTGCTCAGTCTCTACAAGTTGAGTTGTTGTTGAGTGGTAAAGATTTTGATACAATTAAGAGTGCGAATGCTCGATAATTGAGGCTTTTGAGGATGTGGACTTGAGATTATCGAAATGGTAAGCAAGCACATCTCACCTGACATGCTCTTTGCTAGTTCCTAATATATTGACTTCCTAAGTGAATCAGGTAATCTCACGGTCCGGGAAAGCTGAAGTGTTGACTGATCCTCATAGACCCTATGGAAGCAACAAGGCATCACTTCAGGAAATTAGAAGAATTAATGAAGCAGGTGGATGGGTGTGTCTTCCTGTTCTTAAAATATAATTCTATTATATTTCTTATATTCACAGTCTTGATTTTAAAGCAGGTGGATGGGTAGTGTATCGGGTCGAAGAGCTGAGATTGGGCGAGGCTGGTATACACAAAGGCAACTGCAGACAGGCCAAGAAAACAGAAGTAAAGTATGGCAGATAACACCTAGGAATGCTGATAACGAGACATGTTCTGATTTCACGACCCCACAAAAAAGACTTCTAAATTCGATTGAAGAGGTTAAGGAAGTTTGGCTGGAGGATTTTAAGAAACTAGAGAAGACTCCTGCTGCCAAGAGGGCAGAAAGAAACTAGAGAAGACTCTTGCGTACATTGATGTCAATGAGATGACCCATGGAGTATGCCTAGATGGGAAGGGAGTTTTGTGCACTTACAAGTTCTGATGATCCCATATCCTAAGTCGATCATCTTCTGATGATCCCATATCCTAATACTACTACTACTATCCTTCAGCTATGCTTGTGCTGTCGCTCACAGCAACTAGTTTAGCTATACTTGTAATGGACCTTGATTATTGGCTTTAATTAATAAAATCATCCAAATTGTTTTTATTTGTTTTGTGTTTCTTTTGTTTCTGTTTATCCTATTTTTAAACTGAGGAACCACAACCAAATGAAAAAAAAAAAAAGAGTATTTGCAGTGCGCCTAGGTAGACTGGCTGCAAATAGTTGGACTATTTGCAGCGCACCCAACTTGTGCAAACTGCAAATAATCTAACTTTTTTGCAGTGCACAGGGTTTGGCATGCTGCAAATAACTGTTTTTTGCAGCGTTTTATGCACGCTGCAAATAATGTCAGTAATTGTATCGCCCATATATGTAGCGGACAAAAACGCTGCAAAAGGTGGGGTTTAGGCGCGCCAAATAGCATTTTTTCCACTAGTAAAATGAATTATGTTAAATATTACTTTAGAGTGAATTATGTAAACTAGAGATGGATCTTCAAATATGTCTCTAAACTAGAAACGGATTTTCAAATCTGTCTCTAAACTAGGGACGAAATTGAAAATCTGTTTTTAAACTAGAGAAGGATTTTAAATCCCGTCTCTAATATTTCTTTCACTTATTATCAATTATGTGCGTAGAAATAAATAAATAATATTTGGTATAGTTGGTAAGAGTTTCACTATGTGACTTTGAGGTCACGGGTTCGACTCCTACCAATTGCAATTCTTGATATTGGGGATTCAAGGAGCCTTACATGCAAAGCTGAGTCGGGTTGATCCGAGTGAGGTCGAACCGAATAGTAGATACTTTTAGAGCCAAAATATTTTTTGCCGTTGCTAAATTTAGTGACGGATTATTTTTTCTGTTGCTAAATTTAGAGACGGATTTTTTTTTTCATTGCTGATATGAGCGACGGATTTTTTTTTCCGTTGCTAAATTTAGCGACAGATTTTTTTTCCGTTGTTGATATGAGCGACAAATTTTTTTTTTCCCGTTGCTAAATTTAGAGACGGATTATTTTTCCGTTGCTAAGTTTAGCGACGGATTTTTATTCCGTTGTTGATATGAACGACGGATTTTTTTTTTCCGTTGCTAAATTTAGAGACGGAATTTTTTTCCCTTGCTAAATCTAGCGACAGATATTTTTTTTTTCGTCTCTAAATCCATTTAGCGACAAGGTTTTTACCAACGGAGTGATTCCGTCGATAAATCCGTAGCCAGCTATGTCCAGCGACAGATTTTAAGAAATAAGCAACGGATTTCACCTGTCGTTAAAAGGAAAAATTTTTGTAGTGAAATGTAGCAGCAACTGCCGCTTGTTGTTCACAAATGCTATGGATAAAGCAACAGATTCGAGACTTTGGTATTATATTTGATGAATGTGTTCCAATATGTCGGGATAATACTAGTGCTATTTGTATTTCTTCAACACTCTTACACTACTAGAAAACAGCCCATTTTCGACGGAAAAAATCCGTCGGAAACACCCTGTTTTCCGTCGAAAAACTCGTTTCTGACGGAATTTCCATCGGAATTGGTTGTCGGAAACATTTTTGTAGGAAAAACGACTTTTTTCGACGGAAATTCCGTCGGAAACACTTTTCCGACGAAAGAGATATTTCGGCACCGGAAAAAGTCCGTCGGAAATTACCAACGGACACAATTCCGCCGGAAAGTTCTAACGGAAATTCCGTCGAAAAATGCTGATAAAAAAAAAAAAAAACACCCTGCACCACTACCAGCCCCAACCACCCTAACCCACCCATTACCACACCTACCCCTTACCCCTATACCCACCCACCACCGTACTTAACCCTCCTTCTTAACCCTAACCCACCCACCACCGTACTTAACCCTCCCTCTTAACCCTAACCCACCCACCACCGTACTTAACCCTCCCTCTTAACCCTAACCCACCCACCACCACTCATACCCCCTATTCCCACCCACCACCATACTTCACCCTCCCCCTTAACCCTAGCCCACCCACCACCACACATACCCCCTATACCCACCCACCACCGTACTTCACCCTCCCCCTTAACCCTAACTCACCCACCACCACACCCACCTAGACCACCCCCACCCAGAATAAAAAAATACCGAAAAAAATCAGAAAAAAATGAGAGGATGAGTGGACAATTGAATATACAAATTGAACAAATCTAACCCACAAAATACAGAAAAATTGAATATACAAATTAAAAAAACGGATATAACCCACAAATTGAACAAAAACAGATCTACTATGCAAATTGAATAATACAAAAGCAGAAAAATCAAAATCCGAAAAAAAAAACGAAAAAACAGAAACTAGATCTACAAATCTAAAATCAAAATCAGAAAAAAAAAAGCGAAAAAATTCAAATAAATGTTCTTCAAATTTGTTGATGTCAGTGGTGGTTGTTGCGGTTGCACGGTTCTTGATCTTGATTTCTCAAATATTCCGGTGAAGCTCTGCCGTTGATGTGTTGTTGATGTCGGTGGTGGTTGTTGCGGTTGTGGTGGTGTTTTTACGATGTTGGTGGTTGTAAGTAGTGTGAGAAAGAAAGAGGGAAAAGAAAAGGAGAGAATAAAGAGGTGAAAAAGATCTAGAAAGAGAAGAGAAAGGGGAAAGAGAAGAGGCGAAGGGGAAAGAGAAGATGAGAGAGAAAGAGAAAGGGGAAAGGGGAAAGAGAATAGGAGAGAGAAAGAGAATGGGGAAATGAGAAGAGGCAGAGAGAGAAAGAGAAGAGGAGAGATATAAGGGATTAAGGGTCCGACATTGGGTTTGATATTTTATAAGAATTTTTTAAATTAATATTCTGACGGAAATTCCGTCGGAAATTTTCGTCGGAAATTTATTCCGCCGGAAAGTACATAAATACCGACGAATTTTTATTCCGACGAAATATTTAAATTCGTCGGAAGTTTCCAACGGAATATAATTTCGTCGGAAATTTCGGTTTTTCCGACGAAAATACGTGTCCGTCATAAGGTTTTCGTCGGAAATCGACTGTTTTATAATAGTGTTAGGTCAAGCATATCCACATTAGACATCACTTCTTGAAAGACAATGTGGAACAGTGTAATATAATGATGAATGTTGTCAAACTGAATATCAAATTGCAAATCTAAAGTTAGAACTTCTTGATTTGATTAAGTATCAAGGGTGGCAATACGTGCTGTCTAAGGCTTCAAACAATTATCTGTATCCTTTAGCTATGGATGGATTTTGTGATATATTTAAGGTGATAGAAGTTGTAGTATCCAGTAAAGTAAACGATGTTGAAATTGAATTTGATGTGGAGAGGTTAGGAACTCTATTCAAAGTTCCTACTTAAGGTCACGAAGCCTATGTTGAGGGGCAATTTGGGGTAAAAGTGCTCAAATTACCTAACTAGTGACGTAGTAGTATACTTAGGAGGAAAGAGAAGGGTTAATGTGATGAACCACAATGATATTACTTCTCTAAACAAACTGCTATTTAACCTGGTTAGAAAAGCGATTTTTCTTAGAACTCATAAAAATAATGAAGTTAGCTTGCTTAATATGTCAATAATTTTCTGTATTGCTAGAAAGATAAAAGTTTACTTTCCCTCACTCATGATCCAACACCTAGCTCATTGTGTTCTTAAAGGGAACAAAAAAAAAATGGGTTATGGAGCTCTGGTATCCACAACTTTTGAAAGCCTAGGTCTGAAACTTGAAAGGTATTATGATTGTCTGAAAGAAAAAGCTGAGAATATAGTCAATAAAGAAACCTTGAATGGGCTGAGTCTAACCGTGGTGAATGGGAAGTGTGAGATGATTGAAGAGAAGAAAGGAGATACTAGTGAGAAGAATACGAAGGCTCAAAATCTAAGGAGCCAGTCAGAAAGAGCATGAAATTGTCTGGTGGAACACTCATAAAATTAAAGCCAGCTTTGAGGAGCCTCTAAAGCTTGACAAAGAGGAAGAAGAGAATTCAAGGAAGATAGCTGATCTTACTTACAAAGTTGTGCAGGTAGAGAAACAACTTCAGAAAATGGCAGGGAAGGTTAAAAAGCTGGAAAGGAGCTTCTAGGGACTTTGAAAAGGGCATAAACACTAGTAGAAAAACTTAAATGGGTACCGCCAAATGCGCACCGATTTTTAAAAACCGGTGCGAAAAAAAATAGGCGGGATTGAGGGAAAGAGCTTTCGCACCGGTTCTAACAAAACCGGTGCGAAAAGTGAGTAAATCGCACCGGTTCAGTTCGAACCGGTGCGAAAGCTATTGTAAAAAAAAAAAACCTGTTATATTCTTCTTTCTTTCTCTTTCAATTCCTCAATCTTTCCTCCTCTCTCTCTTCTCTCTCTCCTCCATTGAAGCGCACTCGACATTCTCCATTGAAGGGGCTTCTGAGCTTTCTCTCAGCACTTTCCTCAACCTCCTTCTCTCTCCTTCGATCTCCTTCTCCATAACCGCCACTTTCCCTTTCCTTGCTTCTCTCTTTCGATCTCCTTCTCCTTCTCCATAACCAAGCACAACCACCATCGCCGCCGCCGTCAATGTGAACCAAATACAACAACAACAACAACAACAAACTTGAATCAATTATCGATTCAAAAATCACAAATTCGAGGTATGTGCTCTTCGATTTGAAATCTAGGTTTTAGGTTTTGTAATTAGGGTTTCTAATTTGACTCTGAATCTCCGAAATTGTTTTGGGGATGAAATTGTTTTGAGGCTGGGACCTGGGTGGTGTTTTATCTTTGCCCCTTCACCCCTTGCATTGCTTTCTTTAAGTGCTATGCATTCTGTGTGTACGCTACAATGGAAAGATTTCCTCATCCTGAGCAAATCAATTCGATAATGAAAAACTGCTTCACAGTTCCTGTTTTCTTATTGTCCAAATTGGCTGTGATTTTGAGGGCTCTCCTCCTTCATTCTTCTTCATCTTCTATGAGGGCTGCGAGTTTGAGCCGATTTTGAGGGCTCGAATCCCACCATTTTTACTATCTCTTCCTCTTTGATTTGCTGCTTTGTATTCTCTGTTCATTCAAGATTTGTTGATTTGTTGTTTTTCACGAATTGATTTTACGTTGGGTTGCGCGGAGTTGAAGCTTGATTCGGAATTGATTCTGA